CATCTTTCCCTGACAGAGACCCTAAGACTGCAGCCCTGCTGCTAACCACAGCACCACCAGGGATCTTTATGAGGGATTAATACTCAGATTTCCGTGCCCGTCTCAGAACTTCAAGTTGACCATACAAGGTGAACACGAGGGTGCAACAGAATCAGGCCTGGACTCGCAGCGAGATGGCTCCTCAGATCTATGGACTACTAGTTACTGACGTGAGCAAGGAACAGTTTTCGGTGGACCATTCCTATCCACCAGCCAAGACGGTAGAACTGTGAACTGTTCCCTTTGTAGAAGACACTAACCCATCATCTTATTAAACTCTTGGATGCGGGGAACAAAAGCGATGGGAGTACAGTGAGAGGCAACTGCTTGAGGGCAGATGGACAGAAACAGCCAGGGAGGCATGGACTACTTCTGAAGGTTAAGGTCAGTAACATAAGGATGACTGTTCTTCTTGGAGGAGCCAGCCTGTTGTGGGCACTAGCACTGAAGGAGGGAAGAGGAAGGCAACTTCCTCCCCTCCCCTCCACATCAGGTCAGTGGAAGTTTATAGGCAGGTAAAGCAGCTTCCCCCTTAAACACGACTGCTTCATCTGCCTTTAGATGGCCACCACTGCAGCCTGAAGACAGGCTGTTGCATGGGTGTGTGCAGTCCAGGTCTCCCTGTTTCCTCTCGCGTCATCCTAGCTTTCATCTATTTCCATCTTGAGTATAAAGGTCCCTACGTATGGAATGTTTCTGCTTGGAGGCCGGGAAAGAGGGGGCTTAACAACTTCTTCTTTCCCCTAAACACAAGCTTGGCCAAGAAAAGGAGAGGGAAAGTGCTCGGAGGCGCTGGGTGGATGTGACAGCCCCAAGAGCAGACAGACACGGACTTCACACTCTGAAACGAGCACTAGAAAACAGCGGGTGGCTCTTCTGCCCGAGGCCGCCTTCAAGTACAGAGGGTCCAACATCTGACCCTAACAAGGTATGCCGTAAAACCACCTGTAGGCCTAGACTGTGGAGAAGGTCCAACCTACCTTGCACTTACTACTCAGGGGTTAGTGTTAGTACACAGAACTCTCTTGTCTACCCGTTCTTAGGTGCAGTTGAGAGAAGGGAGTCACATTTATGTCCCCTGAGTTATGGTTACTTCAGAAATCTGATTGGATTCATTTCAGAAACAAATTATTCTCTGCTCTGAATTTTGTTGTTGTCATGTGTTTTCAGTAATAGAACGTACGATAAAAGCAAGGGATAAAAAATTAAGGTGATAAGGATTTTGAAGTAATTTGGGGGGGACACATGTCCATGTGGACACTGGGGGCAGGACTGGTGGGATGCGGCCTGCTTCTTCAGATTCAGGCCATTCACAGGCTCCGTGTGGTTGGGGTATGTATCACCACTGGGCGAGCCACCTCCCAATGACTTTGAGAAGCTGAAAATGTTGGTAGTGCTCTAGGTCCTATGGGTCCTGAGAAGGTTAAGTTGTGTCATTCACTACTGCTAAAGGGGCAGTTGAAAACAAACATGCACATACACAAATTCCCTGTCCCCAAAGACAGCTGGGGATAAACGAGGACTGAATACCATTTGTCCTACTTCTCTGAGGAAATGTGATCTCAATAAGTAACATGCATACACTTCTGAAAGAAAAGCTGTTTGGATGAGAATGGTGAACATTTTAGAAGAATTATTTCACTTCTAAAGTGAATGGGAAAGAAGAAAAGAGCTTCCGACGACTGAAGAGAGACCTGTTTGGAGTACTGTGACTGTACACGTTGTTTTGGCCAGGAAGCAGCAGCTTCAGAAACCCTAATGGTAGAACACACCTGTAGTACATTTTTACTGGGTTTTGAGTTGAGGGATTACACCGTCGCTCTCCTATCCAACCAACTCCATTCTTTTGGGGCTGATGATCTCATTTGGATCTATCCCATCTTCTTTTTCCCAGCTCCCCTCCAGGTATCCCAGGAAAGGAGATCAAAGGGAATGAAACTCAGTCTTATTCGGCTTTGCATTAAGAAGATCTTTGAACTTGCTTTGGAGCCATTCCTGGCTTCTATCTCTGATACGCGTTTCCAACCAATGGGCTGAGAGCTCTTCTCAGTGTGGCTGAACCTGTCTCCTGCTCTCTGCAGCCCCTGGTCCACTGCAGGTGGGAGGAAGCGGGCCGGGGGAGGGAACAGCTGCCGTGCCTGTGCGGGTCTAACACAGGGGTTTTCAGGAGTCAGTCGATGATTCACTATGGATGAGAAGCACTCTTTACAATGTCAAAGGGAATCTTTGACATTCCTTGCTCGGGGGCACAGTTTCAGCAAATGGTGGTGGAATGATGCAAAAGGAGAGTGGTGAGGGCAGTACCCAATGAGCATAAGCCATGCCACTAAATGTATGAAAAAATGGCTATTTGGGTAAAGATTTAAAATTTTATATATATATAAAAGTTCCATGAAATGCCATTAATATTTTCTTCCCTAAGGGGTAAACGCTATAATCTTTCCATGACTGAATTTCCAGCAAATGGTGGATGGCAGCTTTGGCTTCCCTGCCCTCAGTTACGGTTTGGTGTCTAATCCCCAAACTCCCAACCAACTGCCACCCAGTTGACTGACTCACTGCCACCCTGGAGGACGGGTGGCAGCCCCCTCTTCTCCCTCAGAGAGGCGGGGGTTTCAACTGCTGGCCTAGGAGTTGGCAGCCTACCGGGTGCCCGCTGTGCTACCAGGGTGCCTTGGTGTCCCACCAGCGAACACACACTTGCTCCAGCCAGTAGCGACCCCGACACTCTCTGCTCACTAAGACAGTGCTCGACGCACGATCTAGCGGGGAATCAGACCTCAGGGGGCTGAGACCTACAGACACCTATGCAGACGTTCCCTTCTTTTCTTTCTCAGTAAAACAACTGCTGCCTGGGGAAAAGCAGTGGTTAAAGACTACCGAGGGGGCGGCCTTGCGTTAGTGAAGGGAAGATTACCCTACATGAGTGAAGGACCTTATTCCTCATGCGCTCCTTCCTGGATGCCACGTCATCATCACTCTGCTCCTCTTTCCCCAGTCTCTCTACTGCCTCCACAGTGAAGCTGCCGCTCTGCTTCCCTTGCTTCCCTCTGTCCTGGGAGCATCCTTTCCCCCACTTCAGCTCATCTTCGGTCCTTCTCAGACTCTTATCAAATTCATAGTGCGCTCTATGCTTTCTGCCATCCTCCAAGTGGTATCTTTGGGTTTCAAGTTCTTTGTCTCGAACTCTTCTCTCCATATCCCTTTGTTCTTTATCACTGTCATTGTGTGACCTGTGGTTCAATATAAATCATTAGTATACCTATGCACACAGTGCTGCTGGATTACTTGCTTTCCTTTCTAGACTGTAAGATCCGTAGACAGGGACTATATAAGCTGCTCATCAGTATACTGCCTGTGTTTGCACAGGGATGGGCACATCATAGGCATTCAATTAAGAAATCAATGAAAAGAGGGATAAACAGAAAGAGAGCGTGTATATCTGTTGTGATACTGAATAACAAACGAAAATAGGTATTATGATAAGATACCTAAGGAGGCTTCAAAAAGTTTATGAAAGAATTTCATTTATCTTTTGATTTTTTTTATGAAGCCCACTCTTGTGTGTGCATGTGTATTCTAAATCCCAATCACCCCACCAAATAAATAGGATCCCCTCCAGCTTAACAGTTAAAGCAATGGGGGCTAAAAGAGGTCCAGAGTAGCCAATTAGGTGACAGAGCCCGGACAAACACCCAGCAGGGCCAAAGCTGGTATGGGCAATTTAGTTTCTGCTCCAAGCAGAACTAAGTGAACAGAAATTCATAGTGCTACATTGATTAAGTTTTTGCACAGATCAAAATATTAAGTGGATAGTAAATAAAATATTGCAGTTTAGTTCATTTGAGTCCTACAGCTTTCTCCCGCCAAAGAGCAAAGCGTCTCATACACTATGTGTGGTTCCTCCTTCTGTCAGAAGGAGCAGCATGACTGGGGGGTTGGGGGAGGCGGGGCGGGGCAATAGGGATCTTTCCAATCAAAATATGAACCTACGCCAGAAGCATGGGAATGGGCTTATTTCTAATAACACAAACACTAGAAACACAACCTTTCAGACCAGACACAACAATGCTAAAAGATAATGGATTTCATAATCATACCTGAGTTAATTTTATAAAGAACCCAATAAACCATTGCCTCCCCACAGACACACACAACCACGTTAGCCAAAGTGTGTGTTAAAAGATGATTGTAATTCTGGGAAAATTACACAACCTTGCTACAAATTCTTCAAATTAAAACCCTGCTTCCAACTATAAGCTCTTGAGTAGAACAGTCTGGAAGGCAGGAGGCACTATGGAAGCCAGATCCGGCAAGTGGGCAGCAGCTCTGTGGTAAGGATGACAGACAGGACTGACGATCCTGGGGGGCCCATGGCCCACAGAATTCTGTGGTCACCAAGGACTGGTGATGCCAGCCGGCATGAGGCCCAGTGGGGCTGTGGCGGAGGTGACCCAACCCTGAGGACTAGGGAGCAGAGCAGCCCCTGCTGACTGGCTGTCAATCCACCACACAGCAGAGACGGCATGCCTCTCCTAGTCACAAAGCCCTGCTCGCGCTCTCTCTGTATGGGCTGGACATCTCGAGCAGGCAAAGGAACAGAACCAGGCAGCGATGGGCATTCTACATGGGAGACACCCAGGATTATGAGCCGCTGGTCAGATCCAACAACTGAATGAGATCAAGGACAATTTTAGGAAAAGAATTACCCCTCTTAAAATGATTCCATTTCAGCATCAAAAATACTTTCCAAAAGGACAGCTATGATGGCAGAACAAAAAATATAATTAGCATCATTGATTGGAAAGTTGCTGCACTGGTGAATATTTTGGTGTGTATACTTTCACACAATTAAAACAACTTCCTAGTCTTCAAAAAGGTTAGGTCTCAAATGTCAAATTCTGTAGATTAGTAAAGGAAGGACCAGCCATAGCTGAGATCCGACCTAGCAGTTTGGATGATGATAAACATGATATCTCAGAACCAAATTACAAAGTGACTAAAATCATGAAGGAACCTGGGAGGACAAGTCTTGAGGCTCTAACAGGCAATAACAGGAGAGCTGAAAGAAAGACAAAGGAGAAAAGGAAGAGACGAGCGAGAGACCAGGAAGGAAACAGCAGAAGAAACACGTCCTCTGAGGTCGACAGGCTGAGACTGCGGCTGAATGGATGAATTACCGTAAGTTCTCGGCAGGACTGATGTGACTCGAAACCAAACTCTTGACAACTATATGCCAGTTCGATTTCTGAATTGCAAAGGCAGTATAAATAAGAGTGCTACTATTGACAGAGGACACTGAATATGACTTGTTAACAAATGTCTAATGTTTAATGTGGTCATAAAAACAAAACCACGACTCACTTTTCCTTGAGCTCCTTCAGGGAGCTTTCTAAGGGCTTGGATTTTATGGCAGCACAGCTAGGAACTTTCCCCCATTTTCCATCTCCAATACCAACTTCCTCTCCTCTTTCTTTTAGTTTCTCTGTGGCTGGCTCCTCGCCCTTTTCTGGTTTCTTAAGAAGCTGAGAAATTATAATGTTAGTAAAACATCACTTTAAAAGTATTTTATACAAGAAATTGTTTAATACATATTTAAAGGGGGGAATGCCAGAGGGCAGAGCAAGTAGGAAAGTGGACGCTCCCACTGACCTCCTCAGCAACAAACCGCTGAACCATTAGCAAACACAAGCACACACTGGGCCCTCAGGGCTCCAGATGGCAGCTGCGGTGCCGGAGAGCCATGGGGAGTCTAGAGGCTTGGGAAAGGATGGTGGGAACATCAGAGCCTAGGGAGAAGCTAACTACCGGCACCTGGAGTGCTTGCTCACTGCAGCCATTTCAGGGGCCGGGCAACAACCCCAAAAGGACAATAGAAAGGGAGCGCATTTGAAGAAATGAGTTCTTAACTCATCTGACTAACAGTGACCCTATGAGTTGGAATCCACACAATGGCAGTGAACTTGGGTTGGTAGTTTTAAAAAGGAATTTTTAAAGTGGCACCAATGGGCTGTGGGAGTCCTTGGGCCACCCAATCTGGAGGAGGAAGGGGGAGCCTGCAGCAGTGTGACGGAGTCCTGCTGAATGAGGCTGGGATGGATGGGCACTAGAGGCAGGAGGAAGTGAGCAGAGTAACGTGGACAGGAGAGTAACACAGGGGAACGGCGGACAGCTGCTCCCTGTCCACACTGGGACACCAAGGGAGAGGATACACATGAAGTACAGAGAGAGCTCCTAAGTTCACCACAGGAAAGCTGACCCCCACTGTTTAAATCCGCATCCATGACCAAATAAACCTCACTCTCCACACAAGCACATTAAGTGCAGAAATAAAGCATCCTGACTCCTGAATCAGCACTGAAAACCCCAAAAAACCCTAAAGAAAAGAGCACTGTCCAGTGATTCCCAGAAGAACCCAAGCTAGGGGGGGGGAGCTGCCCTATGAGGCTCCCAAGACTATGAGTCCCTGTGGAGGCAGGTTACCACATCTCTCTTTAAGAGTGGTTCATTGGGGCAGGCCCTGCTCTTTTCACGGACAGTTTGGCTTTTGACTATTGTGCCACCAGGGTTGCCAATCAGTAAAGTTCACACACACACACAAAAACAGAATTCAAAACTAAAAAAAAGATAAAAAAAGAATGACCCAAGTTTGATGAAAAATAGTAAAACACAAAATCACAAGAGAAGATCAATTAAAAGCAAAACGTGAAGAAAGTGGACTCTCCTCCTGAGGAGGTCAGAACAACAGACAAGGACTGCGAGGGTTCAAACCGTGGCACTAAATACGTGTACAGAAAGCGTGAAGCACGCTGCCAGGAACAAACTAAGAGACGCACCAAGGAGATGGAAAACGTCCAAGACAAACATCCAGAGAGAAGACAGGGCAAGGGAACTAGAATACAAAGTAATGTAGAACTCAAGTGAAGCAGCAAATGAAACGAACAACCCCAAATTGGGATTAGGTTAATTTAAGAAACCTAACCTTAGAACTGTTGGCACCCCAGAGCACCATGACAACCATAAAGGATGGAAACACGTTTCCCAGAGATGACCACAGAGAACGTCCCAGATTGGGACAGAGAGCCAAGCCTGCAAGTACAGGGAGCTACTACTGAGAAGACACACAGAGAGATCAACTTGGTGCCTTATCTCAATACAGTTCTTAGGAACTAAAGCCCAACGGACTCTGAGAGCAGCAGGAGAAAATGCAATGGAACACCCGAAAGGGCGTTTCTAATAATCCGTGAGGGGTTCTTGCCACAAACTCTAGAGGCCAGAAGAAAATGGAGACATATAAATACATAATAAAAATAACTGCCTACCAAGAATTGTTTACCTAGCAAAGCTGTCATTTTATACTGAAGGTCAAATCAAGACATTCTTTAGCAAAAATAAAGTCTGTGAATTTGCCACTACCAAACCAGTTTTGCTAGTATCACTGGAAAGGCAAGTACATTACATAAATAATTGTATATATACCAGGAAAAAAATTAAGCATAAGAATGCACAAGAGAGAGATTTCAAAAACAACAACAACAACAAAAAAAAAAACATGGACAATTGTAAGGACCAAGCATATGATCTTTTCAGAGAATAAATTCAATCATTAAATCCCACAAACAATACAATGCCAAGTTTGTACAAAGTAATCACAACGCAAACTTATCAAATACAGGTTGTATACTGATGTTACTGCAGACACAGCAACAGAAACAGGGTAGGGAGGAACATATCAGGAAGAGATTATGCTAGGTTACGCATCAATTCTTGTCCATATGTTGAGTGCTGTTGCAAGTATAAGTTGTTTAATGTGGTAAGGAAATCATTAAGAAAAAAGCGTTTGGTAGAAAAGATGAAAGCGAAAATGCTTAGCCCAAGAGTTCAAGGGTCCAAGCAGCCAAATACAAACAAAACCAGAATTTTTTTTTTTAAAGAGGAAGAAACGAAACAAGTAGCAAGATGAGTGAGGTATAGCTTTAGTTTCCAGAAGTAATTTAAAAAGTATATGTCTGAATGTCTCAAGCTTCTTACTAAGACATAACTGCTGGTCTCTATTTGTCAGGGGCAAAATGGCAAGGAGGCGGCAAACAAGCTCAAAGAAGAAACAAATTTATACAAATCACAACTTCCTTTACCTTGAGTCTGAAGACCTAGATGCTATCCTTCTACCATCACTGACCATTCGGACTGGTTCACAAAAGATAGTCCCGGAAAAAAACAACTGCCTTTGAGTCCACTGTAACTCACAGTGACCCCCAGAAGAGACAAGAACTGCCCCTTGGCTCGCATGGAGTGGCTGGCGGTTTCAAACTGCTGACCTTTCGGTTAGTAGCCCAACATGCAACCTACTGGGAAGAGAGAAAGAAAAAGAGCCAGACACGTTGTCACAGGAGAGAAGAGATGACTTTCTGAGACTTACTCTGAGATACTCTTTCAACCGAGAAGTGACCGCCTTTTAGAGAAGGCCAGAGAGCACACAAACTAGAGGCTACCGCCCATAAGACTTGTAATCTCACACTCTAAAATTAATCTTAAAAAATTCAATCTTAAAATCTCTACTTAAAAAGCATCTATATGAGTCCAACAGGCCAGTACTCTGGAGCAAAGATGAGAAGATAAGGGGCTGAGAACCGACAGCCCTGGAAACAGAACAGGAAACACAGAGAGAACGTGGACACTAATGTGAGAGGACTGAAAAAGTGTGGGAAATCCAATTTTTCCATGAGCTTTTAAAAGTATTCTTGTAAATGTAATGTTATTGAACAATTTATGCACATTTTTCAAAGAGGAACTGAACATGCTGTGTACACTTTGAATCAAAACTCAAAAAAAAAAAAAGTTTTAAAAGTAGGTACCAAAATTGAGCTCAAATGTTTGAGTAGCTAAAATTTTAAGTTAGGAGTCCATGGGACAGGTGTTTGATTCAATCCACAGTGGCGCATTCAGTCAACGCAGTGATTTGTACCTAGCTTTTGGAGAACAGCTAATATGAAGAAAGGGTGTTGATGCTAATGAATAAAAAGTGATGCGGAATAGAATGATCCAAATTCTATTTATATGTTAATACGAGGTTAGGTAAAAAAGTACTGCTCCCAATCACAGCAAGTTCTATTACACAAAATATCAAAACATAAGCCTATTATTTTGTCTTCGTATCTCTGACACCTAGTTCTTCTACACACTTCTGAACCTCCCTCAGAGACGCGTGTGCTCTCCCATGTACACCATGTCACAAAGCACTTCTGCTATTCTCGAGGGACGACAATTGGGTTCTTTCCCAATGTTTTCTGAGCTTGGGCGACAAAAAGAAGTCCAAAGGGACAAGCTCAGGGCTGTAGGTTCAAGGGGGTAAGGTTTCCCAAGGGAACCCTCCTAGAATGGCCCTTGTTACCCTCCAGCAGGCGCACTGTCACCATGGGGAAATTCCTTCTTGGCCCCTTTCTCACCTGCGCAGTTTTACATTTTCTTTCGAGTTCGCACAGTAAGCCTCATGATGGGCCTGCGTCCTTCAAGTAATCTACTGAATCCTCCAAAACGGATGCCAGAACCATCCGAGCTGACTGGACTTGACTTTAACCAACCGAGCAGATCCCTTTGGAAGCCACTGTTTCGACTGGCCCTCGTTCACTGAATTTCACTGGTAAATGTAAGACTCTTCTTCAGTTATAGTTAATTCCATAAACCTGTTTTCATTCATTTCGATCTTTCCCACACGCCTGATGGAAAGAGGAACTCTTTGATGTTGGCACAGATCCCGCCAGAGGCTTGCTGAGGCCGATGTTGACGTAAAATGGACAAGGATGACCCAAGAGAGATTCCAATTCAATGGCTATGACACGAATGGTCCTTCTACAGGCTTCTTCCATCGGTTTCTGGATTTCAGCCAGAGGGCCTCCATTCATCAAAATGGATACTCTTCTCTTGGCTCATCTTTGAAATCGTCCCATCGTACCTTAAAATAGTTGATCCATTTAAAAACTGTTTTATGTAGGGTAGCAGTCACACAAATTCACTGCAACACTTTTTGTGTTTTGGAATACTTTTTGATTTGGGAAGATGTCCATGTAGTCTGTTAAAAATTTATGACATGCCATTGTAAATAGTTCCCC